GATAGAAACCTATAATTTACATTACATTGTATTACCACCAAAGAATGTAGACGCTTATTATCACTATCGATAGTCTCACACCTTTAGACGTGGCTATTTGACTTCAGTCATAATTATACATACGGATAACCTCGAAAATATTTATTTTAATAATTTCTGATGTTAGAATAAATAATTGAATAAATTAAGATATATTATTATTATTAAAAACATTAATTAGTAGCGATATTAAATTATAAATGTTTAAGGTTATTTATTAATAAAAATAACTCAATTGAAATATTTGACTAAAGTAAAGGCAGGTATGTTGTGTCCTAAAACAATTTAATATATGTGGAATTGGTGTATTATTCAAATAGGTGGTCTATTGACAAGAAGGTTTGGGGTTCAATTCACACCAAGGATAAAATTTTTGTTTTATCAATCAAAAAATAATAGAAAATATGATACATATTAGATAACAAGTTTTCGAAAAACTCATTATTTACAATTTATTTTAATTCCAAAGTTATAAAACGGAAATACAAAATAATTCAAATTCAATTCATACAGTCTTCAGTTGTGAATGCAAAATACTTAATCCGATAAAGACTGTTTCTGTCAAATCCATCACTAAATTCTCAGTCTTAATATCAATTCCTCTGTACAGATAATGATTTTCAAAACAATTGACAATTGTAAATACGTTTAATTACAATATTTTTTTATTTTTGTGGAATTTTTACTTATTTATACATTCTTTAAACGTTCTTTTAATTTTGAAGAATTTTTACTTTATTTTCGAAAGTACGGCGACATTTTTTTCAATAAGATATTTATGTTTAACTTTAAACACATCTAATACTAGTAACGACTGACATAAATGTTCAAAAGTTAAACGATCTTTGCATAATTTCAAATTATTAAAAAAAAAAAGAAAACAAACACATGTGGGTTTTTGAACTCTAATTGTCTGCATTGCAGTGTCGAATTCTTATAATCCTCGAAGGATTGATAATTATTCCGTTACAAGAGTGTATCAAACTCCTCAAATCATAGTAGAAATTATTCTTGGTTAATAATTTAAAACTTTAGATTAAATAATCACTATTAATTAAATTATTTTATTTACATTTTTGATTTTTTGTGGTCAATCAGTTTTTACTCTATGCTAAATGAAAAAATGGAAATACGTCACACATACGTCAAACATAATAATTATGACCGAGGTGATTTAGCTCGAAGCTAACGTCTCAAGGTGTAAGATTATCGATAGTGGTAATCTAATGTAATGTAAATTATAGGTTTGTATCGATTATTTCCCACCTCTACGAGTTTCATCTCTTTTTATTTCACAAGGTAACTGTGTTTTCTATCTCTTACGTTAAAAAGCCGGCTGGTAAGGCACTCATCCCTGTATAAGACCAATAAATAAATGCAAAACGAAGCCTCTCAGTTAGTTTTTAACTCCCATCCACTCAAATTCAACAAATATTTCAAACTAACAAAGTGAAATATGAGATTCTTTTTCTGGACCATCGTTCTGCCTATTTCTTTTCATTTATATTAAAATACAGTAGGTTTATTTTTATAGTAGAGTTGCAAGTAAGAAATTGTGTAAATATCAAAGAAATCGCAACCTATGTATTTTTAAAGGATTCTTTAGTCTTTAACTTTACCAACAATGTAATATACACCATCCTTGGTCTTTACATTACACCGCGTTGTCGGTGCCGCCTCGATTTATCTTTCGAAGTGCCTGATTACTGACATACCAATTAACAAAGAATTGGTTTTAATTTGTGTTGCCAACATCCGAGTATTTCAGTTAGTTTACTATACTGTTTGGTTATTTGTATCATACAGTCATTATCGAGTATTTCTAACAATAAAGAATCGGTACTTTGGGTATTGAACAAATATCCGTTACTTTGTAACGGGTATGTATTTTTTTTTTCATCACTGAGAAAGTGGCAGACGAAGAATATAAAGAATGCAAAACAGTGAAATCATTAGCTTTCTCTGAAGAAGTGACAGTAAAAGAACTAACAGTAATAATTCAGTTATTATCGATCCACTTTTAAAAAATATCCTAGTGGCAGCTTATAAACTTAATTAAAACTGTTTTCATAGCATAATATACTTTTAGAGAGTGGCGTTTTCAATCGCCACTCCTATGTGATTTGGAAATTCGTTTCACTAAGATTTCTATCAGAAATCACCATAGCGATGCCCTTCAACAATGTTGTTTCTAGTTTTCTTGTTTCCGTTTCTCTTTGGGTCCAGTCGAATATGAATATTCATAATTCTTTAACTAGAGTTTTTGTCGGTTGTAATAGTTTTCCCATCTTATTACAGGTTTTTGTTCTCTTTGTTTTGATCACTTACTTCTTTGGAGTGACAAAAGGTTGATCCTATTCCTACCCAGCGGGAGGCCTAACACTATCTCCGCTAAAAGTTCCGTTTGGCACTTTCAGTTTTAAATTAATAGTTATGCTTGGGGTATTTTCTTTTTTGTTTTTATTGTTTAAGTTTATTGTTGTAGGGGCACAAACATAGACTCAGGTCATTGCCTAGTGATCTTAACATTGAGAGCTAGAATTTCAAACACTGGTAAAGAAAATAAAATAGATAGGAAAAAAATTGAAAGTGTAAAAGATCAAACATTACTAACAGACTAAGGAATAGATATAGACTCCTACTAAATCAGAACAAAGGAAGACATTGAAGCAACAGCGAAAGATAAAATAGAATAAAAAAGAAAAAGAAACAAAAATTTTTGCTCGTAAAAATCATTAGTTTGACAATGAATGCAAGAATGCAACAAAAGAAAAAAATGAAGCCTGCAGAAAGATGCTTACTCGACGAACTAAAACAACTATAGAGAATTACCAGACAAAGAGAAAAGAAGAAAAGAAGATACACAAAAAAAACGATATCCCTTAAATCAGGAATTTAAATATCTAGAAAACCTCAATAGAGAGAAAAATTTCAGAGCGTTCTATAAGAAAGAAAACATCAATTGAAGAGAATGGAAGGCAACTACAAGTCAATGCAGAACTCAAAATTACGACCTAATAACAACAAGGAAAGATGTATTAAATAGATGGGTGGAATACTTTAACTATGAACTTAAATTAGAGGAAAAAGAAGAAAACCTGGAAGACGAAAGAGATGAGAATAGCGAAAGAGACGAGAGAAAAGAGGAACCACCAACGATTCTTGAAGTAAACAATGCAGTTAAAAACTACCCGGAATAGATCATCTGCCAACTGAATTATATAAAGAAGATGACAACGATACCATTATAGCATTACAGCAGCTTATAATAAAAGAAATATGGATACAGAAATATCTCTCCAATGATTGGTATTTTGGAATACTTTGCACCATACACAGAAAAGGAAATATCTAAAGGGAAAGGAATATCAAATCAGTTTTTAAATTTAACAAAACTAACTCTTGAAAAAGTTTAATGTAGAATATGAATTCACAAAGAAATGTCTACACCTTTTAAAACAAATAACGAGCTGCGCCAAGGAAACCCTCTGTTTAGTAGGGTAGTACTTTTCAGTGAAAAGTAATATGTTTGTTACAAATTACAACCATTGGTTCAATATATAATAAATCAGTGCTCATGCTGATGATATCAATATTGTTGGAAGAACGTAAAACGCTGTAAGAGATGCGTATGTACCATTAAAAGAATCAGCGATAAAAATGGGTTTAATAATTAACACCAAAAACCGAAGTATATAAAAATAAGCAAGAAACCACAATTCCTACGGCCACTTATTATAGAAAACGACGTCTTCAAAGCAGTGAACGAATTTGTATACCTTATACGCCCAAAACTTATTGTTTAGAGGCCTAAACTCTAACAAAACCTAATGAAAACATGTTTCGAAAGAAAGGTATTATGAAAGGCGACTGGAAAAGGCAAATCTATGGAGCAGTGAATGACAATAGAGTGTGGAGAAGACGATAAACCTCATAAACTGTACCAGGAACCAGATATGTAAAACTTGATAGGACGTCGGAGGTGAATAGAGCAAATTATGCGGATGGAACAAAATGATCCAGCTATATAGATAGTTTGAGAATCTTTATGTTGGCAATGATGGAATAGCTCGAGTTATTACTATATGGACCAAAGATGGAATGATCAAGAGATCATTTTAAAAAATTTGTCCACTCCCAGTGGAACTCTACAGAACATTTACTTTGTTTTATAATGTTTGTATTGTGAGAACGATTTCCGAAGTGGAAATTGAAATGTCAATAAACTTACCTTAACCTTTCATTGTGGCTTATTTCCATTTAAATAGTAATTATTTACTTTTTTATTTTACTTCTCGTTGAGGTACATTTAAGGTATCATCTTTCAAGGGGGGGACATGTCTGGAATCAACTAATTATATAAACAACGTGACACAATGTGCGCTATATGGGTACCAGTATTGGAGCGGCGCATTCCAGCGGAATAGAAGAAAAGCATTCTGCATTATGCATTCTGCATTCTGCAAGATGCATTCCAGCGCATTCAATATTTGTTATACCAGTTGTATATAAAATTTATTTTACAATCACTGTCTTCTAAATGGTTAATAACTTCTTCGATTAATTCAACAACAGTTATACTGATTTGTGTAATCCATTTTTAATCAAAATTGTTTATTTAAATAAGCAACATCCAGAATATAAAGTAATTATATTGTTATCCATAAACCAACAGTTTACTAATTTTGACATAACTTATACGAAATTCTTCTTTTTTATACCAAAACTTGAGGTATAGATTTGCAAACAAAAAACCACCTAAGTATTTGAACAACATTGTCTATTTTAAGTTGTAAAACAACTGCATTGTCCAAGGTCAAAGTTAAACCAAAATATACATTAGAAAAAGTTGGTAGCCACAAGACAGTTCTCATTTTACTACCGTTTGTAGAGAATTATATAACTTGTGCTCGTATGGTCTTTTTTGACATACAATCAGCTGATATAATTTCAAAATAGACAATCTACTTAAGTCATTCAACGGTTGTATAATTTTCGATTTTATGTTTACATATAATAAAACAAATTGATCCCAAATAATTTTTATGCTGTGGTTTTAGATTTATCTATATACAATGGCAAATACACATATAGGAAATCTATCTATGGGTTCTCATACTTTAGAAATTCCACCTATACTGTATGAAACCAATAGAAAAAGACTTGTCGAACGAATAAAAAAAGTTGAAGAAAACTCTGTTGTGGTTCTACAAGGCGGATCTGAGATTTCCATCTATGACTCGGACACAAGCTACATATTCAGGCAGGAAGCTTACTTTAATTGGTCCTTTGGAGTTACTGAACCTGACTGCTATGGAATTGTAGACGTTGTAACAGGAGATTGCTATTTATTCTTTCCACGCCTTCCAATAGAGTATGCGGTGTGGATGGGTCCTCTCACTCCTTTAGACGAATTTAAAAAGAAATATAACTCACAGTATGTACACTACGTGGATGAATTAATACAGGTACTTCAAAAACTCAACAGAAAAACTTTACTGACATTGAGTGGTGTCAATAGTGACAGCGGTTGCATGTTTAAAGCAGCTACTTTTGAGGGCATCGATAATTTTAAAGTCAACAATAAAATACTTTTTCCAATAATAGCAGATCTTCGAGTTATTAAAACAGACTATGAGCTAGACATATTGAAATATGTTGGTGAGGTATCTTCAGCTGCTCATAGACATGTAATGAGATTTGCTAATGCTGAAAAATTCGAATATCAGTGTGAATCAGAATTCTTAAACTACTGCTATAAACATGGCGGTTGTAGACACGTTGCGTATACTTGTATATGTGGATCGGGTATTAATTCAGCAGTTTTGCATTACGGGCACGCTGGAGCTCCCAACAATTACAAACTGGAAGATGGAAAATTGTGCCTATTTGATATGGGAGGCGAATATTACGGGTACGCAGCAGACATTACAGTAACCTTCCCTGTTAATGGAAAATTTTCTCCTCAACAACGAATCATATATGACGCTGTTTTGAAATCAAATCAAGCTGTGCTCAAAGCTATTAAACCAGGAGTAGCATGGACAGATATGCATCTACTAGCCAATAGAGTTTTGTTAGAAGATCTTGCAAAAGAGGGACTTCTACAAGGTTCTATAGATGATATGATAGAGGCTGATATTGCTCATATCTTTCAGCCTCACGGTTTAGGGCACTTAATTGGTTTAAATGTACATGATGTTGGAGGTTACTTAGAAGGAAACCCAGAACGATCCACAAGACCTGGATTAAAAAGTTTAAGAACTGCTAGGATTTTAGAAAAAAATATGGTCCTTACTGTCGAACCTGGTTGTTATTTCATTAATATACTATTAGATAATGCTTTAGCTGATTGTTACAGATCTAAGTTTTTAGTGAAAGATGTTATTAATGCTTATCGAAATTTTGGCGGTGTTCGCATTGAAGATAATGTTATAGTTACAGATGATGGTATACGGAATTTAACCAAAGTTCCAAGAACTGTTCAGGAAATTGAAGACTGGATGGCGGGAAAAGATGAAGACAACAAATATACATGAATATTAAAACTATTACAAAAACTTTATGTTTTGATAACTTTTATATATTCACATTATTTTTGTGATTTTTCTTTTTCTTCCTCAGCATTTCTCTTTTTAAAGGTCGCTGTTCCTTACTCTTCGTCACTACTAATTTATGTCGATCGGGTCTTCTTTACGTAAACATTTCTTTCTTCAATCCTCTGCTATACAGTCATTTCATCGTCTCATCAGTTTTCCTTTATCTCTCCTTTGATCAATTTCTAATCGCTCTATTCTTAATTCCACATAGTTTTCTCTAAGTCTAATATGACCAAACCATTGCAGTCTTGGTTTTGAAATATTTTTTAAGACTGTAGTCACCCCGACTCTTTCCCTAATCAAGTCGCTTCTGATCCTCTCTCTTACAGTCTTACCAAATATCCATCGTAACATTTTCATTTAAACCAGCTTGTATCCTGTGGGAAATTTCTCGATCTAGTGTCTTATTTCCCATTGCGTAGGATCGAAGATATTAAAATTCTCCTAGTCTTCCGAGGTTTCTCCAATCAATGGTATATCCCCAACCATTTTTCCTCCAAACTCATTTTCCTTTCTCTTCAATAGCTTTTCTCCAATACTTTAACTTTGCTTAAAACATTTCTTTGGTCTCTTTTACTGACACAATTATCAGCAAAGAGTATTGACCAAGGAGCTCCCTCTCTAACAGCCTTGTTGCAAACCATTTGTCACTGGAAAACTGGACAGCAGTCTTTAATTTGGTGTACGCTTCCTCATACATATCCTTCATGAGCCTTACATACTTCTCAGGAACCCATTTCCCTCCCATAAATCTCCATAGCTCTTGTCGAAAAACTGTGTCGTACGCCTTCTCAAGATCTATAAATATCAAGTGTAGCTTTCTTTTTTTTCTCGCCGTTTTTCTCTATCAACTGACTCAAAAAAAACAAGCTATCCGTTTTTTCTATCCGTGTCTCTCTCCTTGACCTTCGCTCTATAATTGGAAACACAAAGTTCTTACTTGTTTTGTACATTGTACAAATAATATTATGTATTCCACTGACATTCAGCTCTTCTGTATTAGTATTAGTTTTTTGTAAGACCATTTTAACATAATCCTTACAGCATTTAAAGGTAAAAAAAGGCTCGGCATTATTTCGTTCTTCAAAGTAATCTATTAAATGAGAAAGCACCTCTCTATACAATGCACAGCAATAATTTGGTTTTAAGGCTATTCAGCAGTAATTAAGTAATATGTATTCATAAATACTCCTACTACTAATACTCCTTACTAATACACTCTTCCGTTATGTGCTTGATAGATTGGACCTCGCCGCAACTGCATGACGGTGATGATAGCTTGCCCCATTTGGACCATGTTGAGTTCTGATGCGATTAAGTGTGCATCAGTTCTTACGTGGTAGGTCAAATCCAGAAGGTGTCTCTTGATGCAATGTATGGCTGTATTTGATTGAGCTGCCGACTATTCATGGATCCATTTGGTGATCAACTTAAACTTTGTGGCTGCAGCTGATTCTGTAGTTTATATTGGATTTTCTGGAACGCAGTCGACTTTGGGTTACATCTTCTATATAGTTATGAATCTTCAGCGCCGTGTTGCTAAGGATCTTGTTATATTCTTTGGTAAGTAGATTGAGTCGGCGAAGATATGGTGATGGAATGTCGCTCAGCACTGGAATGTGTCGGTGTAGATTTGATTACTCCTGCGATCATTTTTATGGTGGTACTTAGCTGGACATCTATCTTCTAACGTGAGCCCTGTTGATCCATATTGGTGCGCAGTATTCAACTACGAAATGAACAAGAGCTAAGCCTGAAGACCTAAGTGTGGATCCCGATGCCCCCCATGTTGTGCCGCAGAGCTTCTGAATGATGTTATTTCTAGTTTTTAACTTCTCGGCAACTGTATTTAAATGTTCTCTAAAGCTTAACGTTCTGTCCAATGCCACGCCTAGATATTTTAGATGTTTATTGTGGTTAGTTGAGTCGTGTGTGATCAAAGTGAACGTTAAGGGTTCTTGATGCTAGATTGTTGTTTATTTGGAAGCAGGTTACTTCGGTCTTGGAGGCATTGGGGCAAAGTCTCCATTTTTAAAAGTAATTTTCAATTTCTTTAGCTTCTTCTAGTGACTTTGTTTGGGTTAATAAAGCCCAGTCATTAGCATAGCCAAACTTTGTTGACGGTATTGTCAGCATGTCTGCGATGTAAAGGCTAAAACCATTTTTGAGTTTTCTGTGGGTACTTACTTCGGATCCTATAATTATTTGAAATATTCTGTCGGTGAGCATATTTTCTATTAATCTAGCGGTGAATTTGCAAGGAATAGCGCATAAGAGTTTATAAATCATTCCCTTTCGCCAGATGGTGTCGATAGCTGCTGACATATCTATGAACGCAGAAGAAGTCTTTAGAACTCTTTTAATAAATCACTATTTTGACACTATCCCGGGATATATTCTTTTCGATAACCTCTAGCATGCTCTTCCTGGCTCATTTATTATTTAGATATCAACATTAAAAAAAAATAATTAAAAACATTAACATTTGTGTGAATGTATTAGTTTTTTCATATTAGGTCTTTCATCGAATGTGATATATGAATTTATTGTTATTTTTGTAGTAAATCTTGTTTGTTTTATTTAAATTAACGCCATTTATTTCTTGATTAACTATCTGGCCTTCCTTGTTTGTCATATTCTACTTGACATCTGTCTCAAACATGACCTAGTTATTTTCACATATATAATAACCCTGCTTTAAAGAGATTTAAACAAAAAGTAAAAGGATTAACCTACCTAAAACACCGTAAGTATTTAAGAACAAAATCCGACTCTGACAAAGTTTAACCGGAAACTTTAGAGAGCGTTGAGGGCTCTCTTTGGTCTTAGCCAAAGCAGAATCTCTTGCTCGTTAAAATAACCGTATCAGTTCACGACAAGTTATTGTTTCGATAACATTCCCTTTAAGAGCATAAGTTGCTTTAGGGTTGTTCGCTCTTAAAATTCTACGCGAGGAGTAGCAACAAATCTGTTGAAGATTTCGACTGGAATTTATTGGGCTGTATGATTTGATTACTGAGACAATTCAGTTCGAATTAATGGTTTAGAGTACAACTGTGATGAAATAATCAAGTAACCACTTTAAATATGGCTGTTTGCGTGAAGTATAAAATAAATGGTAATATAAAGTGATGTCTACAATTGAATATACACTAATCAATGTGTATATGTAATATAACAACAGTTAAAGGAAAAAGAGTTGACCGATAATATGTGATAGTTAAGTGTAAGGAGTGCATTTTTAAGGGAAAAATGGTCTATTATGATTTCTAACAAAATACAAGTCCTATGGAAAAAAGATAAATTGCAAAGTTGTAGATAGATAAAATATCAATAACTTTCGTGTTTACACTTATTTCACATAACCTCAAATTGGGGTGTAGAGCTAGTTCGCGACCGTAGTAGAAAATATATAAGTATGACTGAAAACTTACCAACAAGCTCTTTTCAGAGCTATTCTACTAGACAATTCTGTCCTTCAGTTCAATACGTTAATATAGAAAATATAAGCTACACCAGAAGCCAGTATTTATTAAGGATACTAAAAGATAATGATATCGACGTATGTGCTTCTTCTTCTTCTTCTTTCTTCTAGTATGTAGGGTTTAAAGCCTGTTTCTTTTTCAATATTAGCTTTCTAAATTGTTTAAATTGTTGCACCATCTTTTTCTTGGTCTGCCAATACTTCTTCGTCCATTTGGTGACTTATCTCGTGCTATTCGTACTATTCTATCCTCTGCCATTCTACTGACCACCCATCCATTTATGTCTTCTTTATTGCATGCTCTTCTTATGTTTTCGCTTCTCACCCTATCCAACACACTTGTCTCTGATATTGGTCATTTTTCGTCTCTGTTGTTTCTAGCAGTCGTCTCGTTTTAGATATGTCAGGTCTTGTACCCGCCGTGTATGTTAATATAGGTCTAATTGCTGCTTTACAGATTCGTGTTTTTGTGTCTTGTCTTAGGTGTTTGTTCTTCCAGAATGTGTCATTAAGAGAACCCGCCGCTTTACTTGCTTTTAAGCTTTATTTTCGTACTTTTTCTTCAACATCTGTGTAACTAGTTATATCTATTCCCAGATATCTAATCCTTACTTCCTGCTTTATTATTTTCAAATGTCTTCTGGAGTTTTCAAATATATATTTATACTGGAGCTTATGGTTGAAAATATATTATTGTTTCTGAGTTCGTTAAACGCACAGAGATTAGCCATAAGTTTTCCATTTGCGTTGACATGGTTTTCTTTAAATCTTTCTTTTACTCCTTAAACTATTCCATTTCCCATTCGTGCATTAAAGTCACCCATAAAAATTAAGGGCTCTTCATGAGATATTTCATCCAGGATGGTTTGCAATTTTTGGTAGTCCATTGTGATGTTCATATGTATTATTCTTCCGGAGATATAACGGCAGTTATTTATGTTGTCTTTGAATTTTTTATAGACAAGTATATCTACGCCTGCTCGTGCTCGTTCTTCCTTCTTCACTCCACTGTATGCTAGGAAATATTGGTTATATTCTCTTTGGCCTTTATTTTTCTTCTTGGTTTCTTGGACTGCACAAATGTCTATGTTTTTATTTATCAGTTCTTCTATTATCTTTTGGTCTTTGTTGTTGAAAGAAGTAATGTTCCATGTTGCTAATCTGATTGTGGGCTTATTTTTCCTTCTCGTTTTCCTTTTCTTTGCGTGGTTTGTCATCTTAGGTTCGATCTGGTTCCGAGGCTTTATATCGGTTCTTTAAGCTTTGTTTCCTTTTACAATGGGTGAGATGCTAACATGGCCCATTAACTCTTCTCTTTTATCCGGGTTTGGAACAGGCTGTGGGCTTGAACGCGACTGTTGAGCTACTCAATCCACCCAGTCATCGTGTTCATAACCCCCAGGCGAGTTGACGTATTTGCTATACAGGAAACCCACTGTGTAACAGAATATGATCTCCGAAAAAGGGGAAAATACCAGGTTACGAACTGCTGGGTGCTACCTAGCATCAAACATACGGCACAGCGACATACATAAAAACAAATATAAAAAACGCATCCCTTGTTACCACCTCCTCTGTGGACAACATACAAATCGTTGTTACAAAAGTCGGCAGCATGACTATCACCAATGTCTATAAACCTCCAAGCAATCAATGGCTAACGCACGTTCTAGAAACTTATCTCCAACCAGCGGTGTATGTTGAAGACTTCAATAAACATCACAAGCAGTGGAAATACAGGGAGAATGATATAAATAGGGATGCCTTAGTAAAATGAACTGAACATGAGGATGTATATCTCATTTTTGATGCTAAAGACAAAGGCACATTTAAATCAGCCGCATGGAACAAATAATACAACTTCGACTAATGCTTCGTATCAAGCGACTGTAAAAACTCCCTCTGGCAGCCACAAGAAGAGTTCTTTCAGATTTTCTACACAGACAGCATCGCTCAGTCATTATAGAGCTGAGTATACGAATTCCCCTAAGTCAATTCTAGGACCAAAATGGAACAAAATGCAACACTAAGTGTCTTTTTCAGGTTTCTTCTCCTATCGGAGATTGGAAATCATCATCGCTATTTTAATTTTATTGGCCGCGCTTCTGAATTATTCTAATGAGCTGCAACCGAACCACTCTCTCAAATTTCTTAGCCAGTATATTTTGCGTCGTTCTGGTTTTCTCTTCCCTTGTACCTTTCCTTAAATAATTAACCTAAGTAATACGTACTTCTCGCCCCTCATTATATGACCCAGATATTGAATCTTTCTGATTTTAACAGTTTTTATGACTTTACATTCTTTATTCATTCTTTGTAACACCTCTATATTAGTTATTTTTAGTCCACGATATTCTGTGGATTCTCCTGTAGCACTACATCTCAAAGGAGTTTAATTTTTTAATTTCAGACTGTTTTA